GGATGACTGCTCTATTCCTGAGAAGTCATATTTATCAGGAATGTAGATGGGTAATATGGGAACATTTATCTGCGGTGATGAAAGGATAGTGAAGAACTAAAATTTTCTGTGCAGTTAATATTTCATATTACAATTTATAACAACTCACTAAAATATCTCATATGGCTGGCTAGCTCAATTATATATAAAAATAGCTCTTATGTGTCTATCTTCTAAGCTCTTTTTGTTATCAACTCTTTGGCATAGGTAACTGGAATAATGGATACTCGGAAAGTAGAAAATGTGAACAGATAAAACTCCGCACCTGAATGTACAAATATATTGCTTTTCCAAATACATTTGCTAGCAATTAAGAGTTTACAATCTTTGCCTTCAGATTATCTGTATTATATATATATTACATATAATATATAATAATATATATTATAATATTATATATATTACATATAATATATTACATATAATACAGATAATCTGAAGGCAAAGATTGTAATATGTAATATGTAATATATATAGTACAGATAATCTGAAGGCAAAGATTGTTAACTCTTAATTGCTAGCAAATGTATTTGGAAAAGCAATCACACAAGAGTCCAGGTAGATAGGTCAGAGGTTTAGGGCATATACCTTATATTATCAGGGACCTAAGTTTGAATCCTGGCAAAGTGTCCCATTGAACACACCAGGTGTATCTCTGGAGTATTACAGGAGATTATAGTAATTCTGAAAAAAAATTAAAATGGATTTATTAGGGCTGGAGCGATAGGGTGTTTGCCTTGCTCGCGGCCAACATGACCGACCTGAGTTCGATTCCTCTGCCCCTCTCGGAAAGCCAGGCAAGCTACTGAGAGTATCTCGCCCGCACGGCAGAGCCTAGCAAGCTACCCGTGATGTATTCGATATGCCAAACACAGTAACAAAAAAAGTCTCCAATGGAGACATTACTGGGCCCGCTCGAGCAAATCGATGAACAGCGGGAGGACAGGACAGTGACAAATTTATTAAATTTTATGTCTTAAATCATCGTTCTTCCTCCCTAAAGAGATAACCTGTTACAAAAGAATGCTTTTACTTAGATTTCATATTGCCTTTGTCAAAATAATTAAAGCTGAGAAATAGCATGCAGTTTTTCAAGATAAAATAAATATATTTATTTATATTAAACATACATGAACACTGTAATGTTATTTTCTACAAGTAAAACGATCTAATTTAAACCATTTTGAAAGTGCAAGCCTCCAAAGAGTGTAAAAAGATTAAAATTGTGTATAAAAGAAAAACCCCTGTAAGAACTGCTTTTAGTATATAACTCTCCTCTGTGAAAAAGAATTTCTATATTTTCTGTCCAACTTTAAGCCCCCTTTCCAAGAAAAAAAATTGTGAATAGAAATTTTATATAGTAAACATTCATGTTTATTATAACAATATAATAAAAGACTTTGTTAGGGTTGTATTTGTGTAAGTGTCAGAGATTAGAAAAACAAATTATGCTTCTATATTTTTGTCAAATATAGTCGAACAAAGACTATACCTATTTTCTTTATGACAAAGTTTCAAAGTTTAGCAAGATTAAGTGACAAAGTTCTCCCTTCAGGTAAAAGTAATAAATAATTAGAAGAATATAGAAACTATGGCAGGAAAAATGTTGGTGACTCAGAGATAAGAAATTAATCTGAATTTTGGTTTCAGCAGAGGTTACTTATTTAAGTTGAGTCAAACAACATATCACAATTTATATTGCTGGCAATTAGTAAGAGCAATTAGCACCTTTATAGACTGAAAACACTTAATTTTTGCTTTAAGCCAGTATATTGCTTATCTAAAATATAAATAGATGCCTTAATGAAAATATGACGGCAAATAAAATAAAATCATATACATATATACATTCATGTATTTTTAGATCTATTATGAAAGGAAGAAATGTATAGAGACTAACAGGAAACTAGAAGCCAAGCTGGACCACTGAGCAGTGAGTAATCACCAAAGTGAGGTTTCAGTGTAAGAACTCCTAGATATCCTTGGAAAGATTTGGCTTTCCTTCTAAGTGATTCATGTGGAGCAGAGTGGAAAGTCATAATAAAAAACCCTCTCTCATCATAAAATGAGAAAAAATCTTATAAAGGGAATGTTCTGAGACAAATAAATGGCATGGTCTTAATACTGAACAGTGTGTGTGCACGTCGGGGAGGGGGGTAACAAGTTCTCATCATTTATTTGCTATCTAAATTCATGACATATTTTTGGTAAAAATATCAAACAAATAATTTAGACTTAGAAACGCTATGTGGTAGGGCCTGCTGAAATAGTTTAATGGCAAAATGCTTGCTTTGCAAGTGTGAGATTGCCACACTTGCAATGTTTGAGTTCTTTGTGATGCTACAGACGCTGAGCACAGTTCCTGTGGCTCTTCAGTCTAGCACTCACTCCTCCACAACAGTGTAAACCGGTCAGAGTATCACAGGCAGTTATATGTGCAGACTCGAGCTAAGTGCATGACACCTTATGACCACAACTGATATGCAAACAACTCTTCCAGAAGCATTGCACTCAGCAGGCACATATGTCGACAATCATAGCAAGCCCTGGCAAGCACTAATTTCAGAATGCTATACAAGCAACTGAATAAGTGTGACCCCTTGCAAGCATGTGTGAAACCCCTGCATGTCCTGAGTGAATCAGGACAAATACAAGATTGAGTGTGAAAGTCCAGTCAGATGTGCAACCCCAATTTATAAGCAAAAGTGAGATCACAAGACTATATATGGTCTCCAGTCAAAGGAAAGCAAGAGCTAACCTAAAGGAAGGGCAAAAGCAAATACTGTCCTGGATAATCACTGCCCTGAGACTTTGTAGCCCCTTATTATAAAAACAATCAAATACTGTGAGGACAAAACTCAGTCTAGCCTGAAAACTTTGCATAAACAACATTCTCATACTCAAGTGCTCCAAATATAAGGAAATTACAATTTATGTGTGTAAATAAGCAGAATCAAATGGAGTACAATCAGACAAAATTAATATAAAGGTTTGAATTGAACATAAGAAAAAATAGAAGTGATAAGTAAGTTAGTGAAATAATGAGGGGCCAGAGACATAATGCGTGGGTAAGGGGCTCGTCTTGCACGCAGCAGATGCCTCGCATGCAGCAGAGCTAGCATCATCCCCTGCATCCCACATATGTGGTCCCCAGATCACTGCCTGGAGTAATTCCTACATGCACAGCCAGGTGAAAGAAAGCCCTGAGCATCGACAGGTGTGCCCCCTTCACCAATAAAAAGGTAAAGGTAAAGGCCCTCCCGTTGATCGTCGATTTGCTCGAGCGGGCCCAGTAACGTCTCCATTGGAGACTTTGTTGTTACTGTGTCTGGCACATCGAATACTCTCGGTAGCTTGCCGGGCTCTCCGAGAGGGGCGGAGGAATCGAACTCGGGTCGGCCATGTTGGCCGCTTGTAAGGCGAACGCCCTACCCGCTGTGCTATCGCCTTCACCAATAGTTTTGAAAAAAAAATAGTGAAATAATTAAATGAAATTTCTTAATACAAATATTATAAACATTCAAAACAACAAATTAAAATCATGTGCAAATGCAGATTAAATCTTTGAATTTGAGTAAAAGAGTGAATAGGGTATTAAAATATATAATTCCAGAAAATTGTTAAGAATTCTTCAAAAAATATCTAAAATGTGTAAAACATAACTGTCAATTTACAAAATATAAGCTTAACACAGAAGATAAATATAAGAACTTTAATTCAAAAAAGAACTAGAAAATTAAACACATAGTTATAGCAAGTTGGCATTTAATTAACTTCAATTAATACGAGGAATACAGAAACTAATAAAACACAATCTTGCACAGAGTCAGAAAAATTGCTGACAATGTAAGTTATAATCTTGGAGAATTATTTTTTCAAGAATGAGAGCAAAATGCATATGCTTTAATACAAAGCCAGCAATATTTACTAAAGGGTAATAAGGTAAAGGTAAAGGCCCTCCCGTTGATCGTCGATTTGCTCGAGCGGGCCCAGTAACGTCTCCATTGGAGACTTTGTTGTTACTGTGTTTGGCATATCGAATACGTCATGGGGAGCTTGCCAGGCTCTGCCGTGCGGGCGAGATACTCTCGGTAGCTTGCCAGGCTCTCCGAGAGGGGCGGAGGAATCGAACTCGGGTCGGCCATGTTGGCCGCGTGTAAGGCGAACGCCCTACCCGCTGTGCTAGAATATATTTCAAATAGACAAGGAAGGTGGAAGGTTTGATAAGAAAAAGTGGTAAATATGAGAATAAAACTAATTTTAATTTAAGCATACTAATACTCTTGGGATTAAAGAGAAAATAAATACCTGAAAAATTAGTACAGAGATTTTGTGGCTCATGAAGATCGAGTTAACATAAAAAAAATCTTGTATTTCAGGAAGAATTTGAAATAGAACAATGCCCCCAAAATGGTTGTAAGTATATGTGACTGTGTGTATTTCTTCCAGAAACTATGTTTACCATATTGGTTGTATTAAACATTTATTTTTATTTTATAACTTGCTTCTTCTTGCTGTGTTATTTTTGTGTATTAATAAAAATATCATGTTGACTATTTTTGCAAATAAAAAGTTCAATTTTTGTTTGTTTTGCTGTTTTTGTTTTGGAGGGCAACACCCAGTGTTGCCAAGGCTTGCACCTGACTTTTTGCTCAAGGATCACCCCTGGCAGACCTTAGGGAACCATATGTGGTACCGAGGATTGATCTTGGCCTGGCTGTGTGCAATGTGAGGCAATCATACTCCCAGGTATGCTAACCCTCCAGCTCAAATATTCTTCAGATTTTAGAGTTAAAGGAAATACTTTTCATGAAACAGAACTTATCCATATTAAATTAATGAGGTAAAGTTCTCCATTAAGGCACGCAAAGCTGCTCTTAGACAATTTGACTTGTAGAATATCTATGATATTATTTTCATAGATGTCCTTAGAATTCTAATGTGAACAAACAAAATCTCACCTTAAGAAAGAAGCTGTCATAATCTGTCCTGTACAGAATGTTCATACACTGTAAAAAAGAAAATTCCATGTTACTTATAAAACTTTTTGGCTTGTCATTAGTAAAAGTAAAATTAAATGTGAGGCTAGTAGTTTTGTATTCCCTGCAATTCTAATACGCACATATGTGTGTATATAATGTATATATTTGTATTCTTAATTGAAATTAAATATAGAACATTTTAGTATACTTTATATATGGATACATGCATTAGATTGCCCATTTATATTAAGTTAATTATTAATAATAGTGAAATTAAATTAGATAGCATCTATTTTATGTTAAATACATACATATGTATCTTTTAACATGACTATTGACTGTATTTGTGTTAGTAAAAATATTTGATATGCTTCATACTTTTCTACTAAAGTACAGAATTACTTGCCCTTAGAAAGCAACTTCAGTACTTATTATCTGACTTCATTCACACAGGCTAGCTTGTTACATGTTTTTCCATGTTATTGATTTTTCCATCATATAAAAAGACTTACAACGTTGAAGAGATTGCTCCTGCTACCACATTATAAATCCATTGCCTGGAACACAATTTACTGTTGAACGTTTGCCAGACTATGTTAACAAAGATATTTAGAAGAAAATTGTGCAGCTGTAACACAATGAATACAAGAATAAGGGTTTCTAAAGACAATTTTAGAAATATGTGTGACTCTTTGGGTAAAGATAGATTTAAGGAATGCATCTTACTTTGCATTCATTGTCTCTGCAATAGTTAAAATTATTATATGTTTAAAAATCCAGTGCTACAATGGGCCATGTAAAGACCTCAAAAGAACTAATAATGCTATTTTCTTAAGTTTGATGCTGTGTTGCCATTGGCCTATTTTTTTTTAGAATATGCTGTGGGTAGCTTGTTAGGCTCTGCCATACAGAGGTAGTAAATAGAACTGTCACTGTCCTCCCGTTGCTCATTGATTTTCTCGAGCAGGTCCAGTAACATCTCCATTGTGAGACTTTGTTATTACTGTGTTTAGCATATCGAATACGTCATGGGGAGCTTGACAGGCTTTGCCATGTGGGAGAGATACTCTCGGTAGCTTGCCAGGCTCTCCGAGTGGGGCAAAGGAATCAAACTCTGGTAGGCCATGTTGGCTGCGTGCAAGGCAAACTCCCTACTTGCTGTACTATCACTCCAGCCCAGTAAACAGAAATAATTATAAATTTTAAGAGATACAGATTTTCAAGATGATAAAAGACAGAAATTGGTTGATTTCTCCTAACATCTCCATCAAATTTCTTTATGTCGATTAACATGTGCCATGGTCAGCTTATGTGATCAACAACACCCCAAACCTCTTATAATTCTCTATTGGCTCTTATGTAGCTTCCACCCCCCAGCAAGAACAATTGCAAATATAGATATTTATTTTTATGTTTTCTAATTAGTCTACTTAATTTATTTTTATATTAAGGCATCATGATTTGCAATGTTATTTATGATAGAGTTTCAGATATGCAATATTCCAACACTAATTCTTTTATCAGTGTCCACTTCCCTCAACCAATGAACCCAGTTTCCCTCCCACATAAACCTACCACCATTCCAACCCCTGTCTCTAATAGGCACATTATTTACTAGGCACTGTGGTTTACAATACTGTTATTTATAGTAGTTCATGCATGACATATTATAACTCCATAGCTTTTGTAGCTTGATTACTTCCTTCCACGTATCCTTTTCCCTGTTCTACCCCCATCCCATCCCATTCCACTCCCCTTCCCTGTGGTCTGCATCCTACTGAAGATCTGTTTTTAGTTTCTGTTGCTTTTGGATATTTATTATTCCACCACTATGTTTTTTTAAATCCTACAACAGAGAGATAATTCTGTCAGAGATAGTATCATGGTATCACTGTATCACTGCCATCACTGTCTTCCTTTGTTCATGGCTTTACTTTAGCAGGCACCAGTAACATCTCCATTCATCCCAGTGCTGAGATTTTAGCAGCCTCTCCTTACTCATCTTTCCCAATGCTGCCAATTTTGGAGGCTCTGTCAGGGTCAGGAGAATGAGAACTGCTATTGTTACTGTTTTTGGCATATAGAATATGCCACGGGTAGCTTGCTAGGCTCTGCCATACAGAGATAGTAAACAGAACTGTCACCGTCACTGTCCTCCCGTTGTTCATCGATTTTCTCAAGCAGACCCAGTAACGTCTCTGTTGTGAGACTTTGTTGTTACTGTGTTTGGCATATCGAATACATCATGGGGAGCTTGCCAGGCTTTGCCACGTGGGTGAGATTCTCTCGGTAGCTTGCTGGGCTCTCTGAGGGGCAGAGGAATCGAAGTCCGGTTGGCCATGTTGGCTGCATGCAAGGCAAACGCCCTACCTGCTGTGCTATCATTCCAGCCCAGTAAACAGAAATAATTATTAATTTTAAGAGATACATATTTTCAAGATGGATAAAATCTAAGCTAATATAGAGTGTAACTTGTTTTTCTGAACACATAAAAATATTTTCAATATATTTGAAAACACATTCAATATAACCTTAAATTTTTGATAATGTTCTTCAATAATATGTCAGCTATTTCTATACTGTATGTTACATTAAAAAAAAACATTTATTTTTTTCAATATTCCAAAACAATTCCTTCATGAACACATGAAACAGCCTAAGGAATCTAATCAAATACACTATACCATTTGTGGAGTTTACTGCCTATAACAAACACAAACCATGAGGGAAAATGAAAGACAGGAAATTTATCTTTCTTCAAAAAAATCGATGTTCATCTGAATCTACATGTATTCCTTTTCCTTCAGATCATTGTTGATGGGGATTTTACAGGGGGGAAAATGGGTTAAAATGACTGTACTTCACTGTCAAGAGAAACCTATGGTCAAGGATATGTCTAATTCTCAAGGCTTTCATCATGAATATTTTATGAGCCTCACTGATCTGTCCTATGTAGAAGAAAAATTTATCTTTCATCTGTGCAAACGCTGGCTGCCTAGTAATGGATTATATTTCTGTAAGCTGAGTGGTGAAATGCAAACGGCAGCAAAGCTAAGAGGAGGCAAAGTCTTCATTTCTTTTACTGGAGTCTTGCTGCACTTTACTAAAGAGGTAGAGGCAGCCAAGCAAAGAAAAAGATCTTTGGGGAACTATGAAGATTTTGACTTCTGTGCCAATATGCTTTGGTCTACCCATGAGAACACCCATGTTTATGCTGACTTCTCCATGAGTGGATCAGTTACAGTGACCTTTTCTAAAAGTAAAACATTTGCAAGAAAGTTTAGAATGTTGCAAAATCATTAGCTCAGCTGTGATTATTTCCTGAAAACTAAAGAATGGATTGATGACCTTACAAATTTCAAACTGAAAGGCTTATGTTGTGCCCCTTAGCTGAGTGTGGCTCAATTTCTCTGAGCTAAGAATGACATATAGACCTGCCTGTGCACTTGAAACTTTTAAGTGGCTGAAAAATTAATTACTTGTGAAATGCATTTAATGAATAATCATAATAAAATGCCTTCCAATAACTGTTCGTTAGACATACAGAATTTAAAAACACTTGAAAGAAAAGTGTATATTTTCTTCAATGCTTTTTTAAAACAAAAATCATAAGTTGGTCTTTTTAGTTAACATCTTCCTGGTATCTCAGAACATAAAATGGCTCCTGTTTGGGGTCTGAACAATTGTATCCTGGAATCTTGTACCACATTGGCAAGTAGTAGGTATTTAATTTTTTTTTTGTTAAAATATTTACAATTTTAAAAAAATCTTCAATGCTTTTTGGAATGCTCTAATTAGCTGGGTAATGATTAATAATTCTCAATGTTCATATTAAAAACAATATTTTACTAAGAAGCAAAAACTTGCATAAAGCAGGGGATGAAGAGTTAGTATGGCTGGTAGGACACTTGCCTTGCATGTAGTCAACCTGGGTTCAATTCCGGGCAGCCCTATAGTCCCCTGAGCCCACCAGAATTGATTCTTGAGTGAAAAGGCAGAAGTGACCCCTGCGCACTGCTGAGTGTGGCCTCCAAACAAAGCAAAACAGTATTGTTTTGAATACTGTTTTAGAAATTGGGTGATACTAAAACATCTAATATTAACTGGGGGCCTCAAAGAGTTGACTAACTAATTGAATGCATAAATGCATGAGTGAAAAATACTATGAAACATTTCTGATACAGGACTATAAAAACAGATACATGGGTGGGGGTTGCGGCACAGAAAAACTGTACGGCAGTTAGGGCACTTGCCCTGCACAGTCAACTCTGGTTCAATCCCAGGCATCCCATATGGCCTCCCAGCCTACAAGGATTGATACCAAAGTGCTACCTGAGGTGCAACCCTGAGGACTACCCTGTGTGACCCAAAAACTAAAGTTAAAAAAAAGAAAAAGACAAGACTAAACTCATTGGACAAGTGTAGATAAATCTCAGTTCATGAAAAATCTGGCTAAGAAGGTTAGAACAACTGAGTAGAAAGAACACCTGTTTATAAGAAATATGAAATCTAGTTCTCACATCCATTTTTTTCATGGAAATGAAGAAGTTTCTTTTTTCATAAATGAAAAGGATTGGAAATCAACACTTATATTAATATAGTAGAAGTATAAATATTGATATGGAAATTGTGTCAATTTTTCTTTTCTTTCATTTTAGTTATGTTTGCCTGTCAGCCTTAAGAAGTCAGGGAATTTATAGTGAATCTGAATAGCGGTACACAGGGTAACATCTAACACTACTCCTTCATTTGCATATATATTTTTTTATTTTGGAGGGCTGCAGGGGTGCTAAGGGTTTACTCAAGGCTCTGTGCTCGGTATCAATCCTGGTTGTACTTATGACACCATATGTAGTAGCAGGGATTGAACCCAAGTGAGCTTCCCTGCAAGGCAAATGCCTACTGGCTATTTCTCAGGTCAAAACCTTACTTCATTGTTACACAGTTGCATACATCAAAATCGCTGGGAACCCCTTCAAATATTTCCTCAAGCACATGTTTAAAACTGTCTTTACTGCAAGGAAGTT